AATAGCAATAATGGTCCCAAATATTGCAACCTATACCTAACACCTATAAGCACCATAAAGTCCTTATTCCTACCTCCATTTTTGGCAATTTCTGGAAAAGACTAGGTACATAGAGACAGAATGTCCGAAGGTGAATTCAGGGTTTTCTTTGTAACATGAAACCAGATTATAAGAGCGAAGATAAGCATGATTCTATCCAGCACCTGACCATCCAGCATAGATGCTTGGAGCATGGAGCTCAACCAGTCCTGTCACTAAACCAACAAAAAGACTAGATCCTGTGTATGGAATGGAATCCAAGCATATTGAGCAGCCAAAATTAAACCTGGCCTTTCCAGACCTCAGACCTTTGAGTCTTAACACGGAGATGTCCATGCTATGTAGGGGAAGATTGTTACCCTTCGTAGCGCGGGGCACATTCATACAGTCGAAATAAAACTTGAACGAAACAAAGTACAGTCTTGTTTTTGTATGTGTACATGAGTCGAGGTACGACTATACATAATCGAAGTTTCGCGAAATTCGCACCGATGAGAATGAAGTTACAGGCATGGACGTGTTTTCGCGCTCGGTAAGTAATTTTTGATCAATGTTTTTGTCTCTTGTTACCGTAGATAAAATAAGTTTTCGTGTAGAGTATTCTATCAGTAACTAGCAAAATATACTTAGATACGTCTCCAATACTTAATTTATGACGTTTTCCTATTAATATTAAAATAAGTTATATTTTGTTGTTATTCAGTTAGTGGGGTACTTTCGGACAGCACTAGATGGGGCACATTTGAACGAATTGTACAACTAAATTTGTATGAAAATATTTTGTCGACACGAACTGTAATTTTCATACAAATTAAGTTTTCGGCTACACTTTCTACATACAAATAATAATAAGGCATCTTGACTAAACCCTCTGGTAGGGGGGGGGAGGGAAGATTGTGTTAGTGTGCTAATTGCTCTAATATTTCCGGAATTAACTTTGGAGAGATGTGGAACAAATTCAAACTCCTGTGTTGCTATCATGCTTTCGTCATGTATATTTTTATTACCTATTTTTATTATCTTTATTAAGGTTGATTTTGATGCATGTGAACCAGATGCTTTGAATAATTTACCAATCCATCAAATAGTAGTTCCTTCGAAGTCATTTTGACACCTGGTTTTGACTCTATACGCATGTTGTAACAAGGTAATAAAACAAACAAAATGACGACGGCCAGGAAAACCACGAATTTATACTGCCACACCCGAAAATAAGAAGTGCTAATCCGCACCAAAGATTAAAGAATGTGATTCTAAATTTAAGATACCTAACTAATTAAATTTTGGTTTTCTTTAAGAAAAGCTATGTAATGTATTTTGTTCACTATAATTAAAGTATTTTATTTTTGCTTAGCCACAAAGAATTAAATTCATTTGTTGCCTTTCCAAGACCTCAGACCCTTTAGTCTTATAAATTTAAGCACGGAGATGATCCATTGCTATGAAAAAAAAAAAAAAAAAAAAAAAAAATATATTTAAATTAAATCAAGGATATCATATTACGTTATACTACTATTCCTCTATATGTAGTATTGGTTTATATTACATATAGACGACTGGGAATTGAATCAGAAATAAAAAGACATCCTGGAAAAGAACAAGTTCCTGAAATCCCTAAAAGTATAAAAAAAATATATATATAGTAAAAGTGGAATCTGGGCATATTTTATGAGCAACTTTCTCCACAACAAGTTCTCGAATAGTCACCAATTTTAGGTATTACTATCATATATCATGGAATCTGCAGCCTGACAACTATTTCGCAATGAACTGGAATTACACGTGCCTCACGTTGCACTGTATAAGCATTTATTACCCCGTGGAACCTGATATTATGTCTTCGCATTTCTAATATCGGATTGTTTAGCCGTAATATCAATTGTAATTTTTATTTTTATTAAATAATTTTTTAACATTTGTTTTTTTAACCTTCGGCTGTGGCATAGATGCATGCTTCACTCCTTTTATTTCAACTTAAAGTTATACTCTGTAGCCAAGGGCTTTACAATAAATAAAACATTTTTATTAGTAGTCAAGCAAGTGACCGAGACAGAGATTGAAAGTTATAGGTTTAAAAATATTTTTCTTCTTACTTTATCCAATTTGTTTACCCTTGTTAATTCTGTGTATGTAATAAAACATCTCTCTTATATATATAAGAGATTAAAGACAGACATTTCTAAACATAAAAAAGGGTTATGAAATAAAAAACACATTAGATCTACAAACAAATATAATTCAGTTTTCTAACATTTTACGATACATAATTTATAAATGTACAGGGTAAGCTCATGACGCGGTAAAGCAATTCTATGAAGTTCACGACTGGCTTCAGACGTACGAGTGCAATTTAGACATTGGGAACGGACTCGCCGCCTTTGATATGCTTCTCATGGGACAGGTGTGATCTTAAATCTAACGTGTATAATGTATATGAGAGGACAAATGTGCTGATCGGTCGTACCCTACGTAGACACCGATGACTAGTAATTTATAAAAAATTACGCTACGATTAAGCGTATCGATACTTCTTAACACGACAACCGGACAGACATTCCGTTCCGAAGGAACGGCCGCGCGCGAACGTCGAACTGTGCGTCCCGAGGGAAGACGAGATGTCCCCGATCACATCATATTTGTGCTTCCGCGCTTCGAACGCTTCGAATGCGGAACCCGTCTCGAACCCACGCCGGGGAAGACACAGAGTGGAACGCGATAGGATTCGATAACATCAGTATATAAAGAGAAATATTACACCTTACGCTATCTAACTATTATAAATAATTCCACAATGACAAAAATTTATATGATTCACGACATAAATGATTATTTTATTGCACGACGCTCTAACTACGATTCCGATACACCGGGACAGACACATAGAAAAGGTGGACGCGCTCGCCTCACCGGCATACAAACAACAATGTACAAAGAACGGAACGTCACACGCGCACTCGGAGTACCGCCGGACGTACGCGGGGTCGATAAATATAGGCTATGTTTAGTTTAGTAAATAAAAATCTGATTTATATATCGTCAACGCTGTAAAACGATCACCTCTCACGCTCGATAAATATATTTTTAAGTAACTATCGTTACGCGTTTAAAACAAGGTACACATGAGGAAACACGGTTAAAATTAACGACAGTTAAGCTAAATAGAGAATAGATATAACAAATATAGTAATCCCATTGAACACGGCGCTTCACCGTCGCTTTTAATAGAGCGCGGCACCCGATCGATATATTCTAACACACACACACTCACCGCACCACGGGAAGGCAGTTTTATTTTTATTTTTATTCATTTCGAGACCGGCACTGGGAAGAATTAAACACGCAACAAAATTGTCTGCTCCGAAAGCGAATCAAAATACGAAAATTTCGAAGACGTACTATGTACTCAGTGTTCGGATGCAGACAGAAGAAAGCGAGGAATGTAAGCAAACAACTACCCCCTAAAACGCTTAAGCTTTGCTGAAATAAGCTCTCCAAATCCAGATTAGCAGTAAAAATAATTTTACGTAAACGTAAATAAAACTGAATAACGAACGTAAATAATTATAATTTGTTATACGATTATGGCAACTGAAAACATTTGTACACACTCCACGGGATTAACTAACTCCGGACATTTCACTAATCTATTATTTAAATAACTATAAGAAGTGTTAAAAGCTAACTACCGGCCATCGCCGCTACGTCTGACACACGCTTCATTCAAACACGATATTTACGCGTTTCTCTACTTTGGCTGGACTCACGAGGGTTCGATAATAACAAATTAATACTGGATCTCCCGAGGGTAGACCGAAATCGGCGTTCGAGGAAACCTAATACGGCACATAATGTAGTGGTATTTTCATAATTTACAACTACCCACATTTGGTAATAGATAAAAACACAAAAACTCAAAGTCTCTCGATCGCTGAACACCTCGGATCTTTAAAAATAATTACGAAAACGACAGGATTTAGGAACTCTCTACGAAATAAACGCAACGTAACTCAAATTCAACATAAAACATATTCTCGTCAACAAAAATACTTCGCGATAATAAAAATCCCGCAAAGAAATTGCGCTCTCTCACTCGCACGTCGACGTGAGACGACGCGGTCTTAAAATGGGCGAAACGTAACAAATTGTTGATAAATAACATAAGTCGTTCGATCCGGCCCCGCCCGATCGAGGCAGTCGTCGACACTTTATCGAATCGTAAATAAAAAATAAATAAAACAATCTAAGTGCGACTTTTAAATCGTTCCTCAAAAAATAAAGTCAGAAGCGACTAAAAAGTCGAGCCGAGTGAAAAAGATCAAATCTAATCACGATTAAGTCTAAATCATCAAAATCAAAGTCGAGAGCCGTCGAGCAGTGCCGCAGTCCCCTGAACCAATGTTCTCCAAGTTTCTTCTTCCTGAACCTCGTCATTCGGAATTGGGAATTCCCGGTTACACTATTAAGGCTTCATCTAAAATAAGCGTATGTTTGTTCATCTGTAGCACTACTCGACGAGCCCTCCCTCGTCGCCTCCCTCGCGTAACCCTAAGCCCTTGTGGCACAACATTTCATACATATTTCTACTTAAACATCAAATCAAACTTCTCCAAATACAAGAACATCCGAGATATCATATAAGAGTTTTGCAACGGCTGAAAAATCTAGAAAACAGAAGAAAAATCCGCCCCTTTTAAGATTCAGAGAACACGTCATATTCAGCGCTATTGTTCAAATGCTCATTTTATTTACGAGATAGAAGAGACGGACAGCCATTTTTAAAGTATTTTTATGTGAATATTTGTATCGAGTCTCAGAGTGAGGGGCTCTTTTATAACTTCTTCTCGAGGCTAAATTTAAAATTTAAAAAGTTTAGTAGGAACGCGGGCCCTAATTTCGGCAACCCGTGGGAGAGGAGGGGTCAGAGCGGATTACGGTTAAGGGAGGCCGCGAGACGATCCAGTTCATCGCACGTCGGTGAGGTTGCTCTTGTCTCCGAAGAGCTTGACCAGCTGCTCCTCGTAGTCGTCGATGTTGCGCTTCATGATCTCCATGCAGGGCCCGAGGAGACGCTCGAAGGTTTCGACGTCCAGAACTGAAAAATAATATTAGAACTAAATACGACCGAATAAAAAGCTATTCATTGTTAACGGGTATTTTGCTACAACAAACCACTTCAGCTCACTTGGAATGGCCAAGTAGAGAGGACGCCCCCCAGAAACCTGAGAAGATGGAATAAAAGGCGCTATTCCTTTTATATGGAAGGATTGGAAAATGGTGGCGAGGATGAGAGACAGGTGGAAGAATTTGTAGGAGGCCTTCCCTCCGTCGGAGCTCGAATACTAATGTTAAACATGACATGGACTTGTAATCCTGATTATGCAGTACTCGAATAAAAGCTATTTTTATTTTTTTTATTTTGACATATTTCATAGAGAAGTAGGGATGGGGATGACGGGTCTGGGCGTTACTGCATACGATTTTTTGCATTTTCTGCAACGAACTGAAAGCACACCAACTTTTTGAAAAAAGCTGATATTTTGACGGGTGAATTTCCGATTGAAAATTAGGGTGCTTTTTCGATATTCATTCAAAATAAGATGAAAAAATTATTATTTTCCTTTAATTTTTATAATATTGTCCTCCTTTTCCAATGGGTTTCATCCTACTATTATTTTTTTAGGTTTCAAAAATTATCGACCCTGGTCTATGTCAAAATAAAAAAAATAAACCCTGGTCTAACAGCCCAAGAATATTAAGTAATTTTCTTTTTAATAAATTTATGTTCTTATTAATTAACATACTATATTAAGCTTGAATAAGATAAATAATGTTTTGTTGTTCTTTAGGAGGCTAATTAATGTAGACGGAAAGATTTGTATCCAATCTGCTCAAGTCGCTTGTTGACAATTGAATGATTCTAGTTTGTATGCACGATATTAATTTGTATATTAATAGCGGATGTATCATTAAAAATTCAGAAAAGGTCCTTCTGCAGCTACGTCGTTGACATAAATTTTTAGTAGTTTTAGCATTTTACGACTTCCTCTTCGTAACGATTCTTAGCAAGGATGACGTTTTTCCACGTCATGATTTTTTAAAAAGACTTTAATAAAATTTTGTACCTTAAAACTATATTTTCAGTAAATACGGTTACATTCGTCACGCCATAACAAAGTAGTCATACACCAGCTATTAATAGAATTTATATTTGTGTAACCAATATAGTAACTCGGTAAGTTACTTCGATTCAAAGCATTTATTCAGATAAAAAAGCGATGCATGATGTACTCACAAGCAACCTTGGTGGGTCCAATGGCGTATGCGGAGGCAGCACGCGGCTTGTGAGTGACCAGAGCCAGCTCGCCAAAGTAGTCTCCTTTGCCTGCGATTGCACATGAAGAAACAATTAATTTATAAAAACACACACTATACTTACGATAAACGAATATCGCTACTGTGAACTCACTCTACGAACATATAAAGATGTCGATATTCGGAGACAGCATTCAGTAAGTGCAACCACTTTGTTAACGAGGATCTGTGCAACAGACTGGTTCTTGCCCTTGGCATCGCAAACAACTTTGGCCTTCGCCGTCGCACATATCCCCTTAAGATACAAAGAAACCGAGTTCTTGGAGAACACTTGGGTTGCTCACCATCCCTCGCAAGACTTAAAAAAGATAGTATGCGTTAAATAGTTTTATATTAGTTTATCTCGTGACTCACCCAGACGCTTAATCTCATGCTCGTTTCCATCATCACGAGCGATGCGGATGCTGATGGAGCCATCCTCGACGAAGTACATGCCATCCGCCGTGTCTCCTTGGCGGATGATCAGCTCACCATCGATTAAAGTGCGTGGAAGAAGGGCATCGGCGAGGTTGGCTCGCTCATATGG